GGGCCTGATCACCTGGTTGTCTTGTACGTACTCTGTGACGGCACTCAAGATGATCTGCTCCATAACCTTCCCTGGCAACGAGGTCAGACTGAAGTGCCTGTAGTTCCCTGCATCCTCCTTCTGGCCCTTCTTGTGGGTGGACATCACATTTGCTAGCTTCCAGTCAACCGCGACCTCCCTGGTTAGCAGGACTGCTGATAAATGATTGAAAGTGGCTTGGTGAGCACTTCCGCCCGGTCCCTCAGTACCCCTAAGACACAGATTGGGCTAGGTAATAACGTCATAGGCTCCCCCAAAGCAGGACCTGGGGACATTTCATTCCAAAGTAATGAAAAATGTTAAGAAGGTGTATTAGCTAACCTTTCTAGTCAGACAACAAGAATGCTGCATGTTTTAATCATATTTGTTTAATAGTTTTTGGTTAGCTATTCAATATGGTTCAACATGGCCAGCAGGTTCTTCTGCATTTTATACAGAAATACATACGCTGAGTCGTGAGGCAAGGACAGTTTTGCTGTGTTAAGGAGCAGGCCAGACAAATGCAGAAAGTACCACCTGCACCACAAAGGGACAAGGCAGTTTACGATTTACTGCATAGTGTTAAATGTACCTCCTGAATAAGAGGTGAACAACCCTCGCGCTCAGCCTGACTGGAACTTTTGGAGGAGTTCAGGAAGGAGACCGGCCTGTGAGAAACCAACATGCTTCACAAACAGAGATACTCATTCTGTGATAAACTCAAAGTCGTATGGTATACAAAGAGTTGCTGAAAGCATGTTAGGAAAACATATGCTGCAGTTTGGCTAAACGCAGGGGAAGAAAACTTTGGGGCTAAATCAACTAGATGTAGCTTTCTTTTGCTCTTTCATCTGTATCTTTTACAAATATCATGTCCTCATTATCTACTTTTCCTGTTGATGTTACATACTCCTGAAGTTTATGTGTTATCTTAATTTGGTTAGGGGTGATTTCAAAATAACAAGATAATTAATAGCAATACATTCCTTTTCTAAGGACACAGCTATCCATATAATCGAGACATTATGACACACATCTCCCCAAAACATTCTTTGTTGCAGGCTGTCCAAAGGAAAATAGAGAACACCTTGAGCAGCCAATAGCACAAGACCATCAGAAAAGTGATGATCCGTAGAGATCCTAGCTTACAGCAAAGCTGTGGGAGCAGACCCACACTTCAGGTGTCTTCAGGGAGCGTGCATCAACTGTTCATAATAAAAGGCAAACTTGCTCCAGAGAACTTCAATGGACAGGGCAACTAAGAGCTGGGGAAAGGCATGATAACCTGTAATTTGAAATTTGTGCAAACTGGTGTAATTGGAAACTTCCAGCATTTGCCCAGATTTTGTAGATGTCGCACTTTAGGTCTAGCCAGAATGCAGATGTGCAGGTTCCCAGTGTGTTCACTGCAGTACACAGAGAAGTGGTGCAGCATCCACACAAGAGGCCTGACTGCTGCAGGGCATGGTGAAAGTTAAATACCAAAAACAATGTCAAAAGTTATGGGAAAGGGAAAATTATTTGCCTCTCCTGCTGTGGCAAAACCAAGAGAAAAGAGAGATGGACATTTTGGTTTGGTTATTCACGTTTTCTCAAACTTCATGAGCTGTGATATTATGCTATCATTCATTCAAAGAGAAAAACAAAAAAAAAACATTTGGGATCATCAGTTTATAACAGAAAAGGAACTGGTAAAAAAAAAAATCTTCTCAATTACAAATATTCAATGTACATTTGTTATATTTATGTGCAGAAATACAATTACCTCAATTTTGGTTAAGAGATCCTGCAGTTCCCCGGATTCATTCATTAGCAAAATTTTCTCAGCACCCTATTAGTAAGAAGAAGAAGAAAAAGGTCAGCCAGCTGAGCATGAAAAAACCAGACATGATCAGGAGATGTCGTCTTGAAAATTTAAACAGGCTAAGAACAAATTTGACTCACATTAAGTATTTTATAATTAGGTCAACCTTAGGAAAGTTAGAAGGAGAGGAGAATCTAATCACAGTTCTGACAGAAGTGCCTGCGGTTCGTTACCAGGTGTCGTATCGCATTGCCTTTTTGTAAAAGGTGACACAGCTTTGAAATTCTTGTGTTCACTTTATTTTACAGGGTATGATTCCTGGCAGAATAAAAAATACGTCTAGTTACCATGTCAAAATTTACAATTATATAAATATACAACACATCAGAGAATGCAGCAAAATGAGAGGAGAAAATTGTATTTCAAATATTCTGGCAGTTGAGCATTGAATTAAGACATAATATGCCTAATGTACAACACAAGGAGGAAAAGGGTAATGAAAATACCATAACAACGTTAAAGTCAGACACAACAATGAATAATAATAATTTAGTCTGAGTACATTAGGCCTCTGAGGGGTTCTGTGATCTGAACCAAGGCAGTACTGAAGTGTTTTTTCTTTTTTCTTTCTGAAAGTAAATGCTAAGAGATTATTGCAGACAAAATGAAAGAGTCAAAGATGATGTAAAACTTTTTTTCCCTTTTCTTCTAATTAGAGGACCACATTTAAATGCTTACACTTCACTTATGTAGCCAAATTCACTGAATACTAAACATTACCAAACATTTACAGACACTTTTAATCAGTGGATCACAAGAAACCGACAAAAGGTGAGGAAACTGAGGCACAGACGGAGGTAACTGCACAGCCCTTACCTGCTGCTAAGGATGATTGGCCACATCCAGACCGGGTGGCGGGTTCACGCCATCACGATGCCCCAGTTTGCTAGTCCCTGCATGCCCAGACTGTTAAATTTCACCTTTGGTTTTCCTTCCGCCATGAGCTGAGAGGTGCGGTGGGATGCTGGCACAGGGCTGAGGTGCGGTGGGATGCTGGCACAGGGCTGAGACTGGCCATTGCTTTGAGCTGCCCACGGTCAGCCACAGGGGCTCTCAGCCCCAGCTTCCCACCAGCACTGCTGGTTACTGTTACTGGGAGGTACAGGAAAGGCTTCTGGGGAGCACAGGGAACACATATGGACCAGTAATGTACATGCTAGTGTCCAGCCATTCATAGTGCCTCACTGGGGACTGCAGAGGTTACAAGTGTGTAGTCCAAAAGCCAGCTAAGGGCTACCAAAACATTGCAAAAGGTTTTGCATGTCACCCTACTAAGGTTAGTTTCCCTGTGCAAAATCTTTTTGCTCTGGCTTTGTACAAAAAAGAAGCACTTTTGACTCTGTGTTTGATGATTTTCATTTCAGTTAAAAAGCAAAATATTAACATTTTAGTGGATGTGAGTGTCACTTTTGCAGTGAACACTACTCTTACAGTGCTACGCTTTCAAAGAAATTGTTTTTAAAACAAATATCTACAAGGTGATTAGTTGTGGTTAATTAGTCACAGCAGGTGACAGGAGACTCAGATCAGCTAGCCTTGCTTGTGCTGACTCTTCTATTGAAATCTGTACTAGATCATGGGCACAGGGTGTATCAGCTTCGACATATGCATTAGGGCTCTCTGTGTCCCCAGCAGAGCAGCTTTTAGCAGTCTGTCAGCCCCTTTCACGCTTGCCCTCTAATCTTTCTCTGCTTTCACACAGAACGGGCAGTAGGAGTGATTGGCACAACAAAGCAAGGGCTTGCCAAGGTGGCCCACAGAGTATTAGCTCAGGGCCTGAATACACTACAGCGGCTTAAGACAAAGCTTGCGCTGCCCATCGGATGCTGAGACATTAAGGATTTACAGCTTTCTTGATGTAATTGCAGCACTGCAAATTCCCTAAGCCAGACAAGCCCTGATTTGCCCTCATTTAGGAAAGGGTCTCTTCTCTGCGGCAACAGTTGGCAAAAGCATTCCTGACTTCTGCTCTGTGTTACAGTGATGCTGTATGGTAACGCTTACTGGCTTTTGCAGCAGTATAATTAAAAGTCTGACAGGTTTCCCATTATAGATTCATATTTTAAAGGATTTATATTTCAGATGACATTCAATCAGCCAGCTCTGTTACTTTCAAAGTGGAAAGCGTCATTACTGTGGTTTTTAAATTAAAAACCAAACGTCCGAATGGCTATCAATGTTTTTAAGTGTTTCAGCACGTCTTTTCTGATTAACGGCTTTCTCAAGTGAAATTTGAATAAAAGATACTTTGCAGAGGTTAACCTTCCCTTTGGATCTGTGAATCTTAACACACAGAGTCTGTAATTAATAGAGTAATTAAAGCAGCTGTTAAAGTCCAGTAGCTGCTTTCTGACCAGAAAGTGATGCTTTTCTTTTTCTTCCTAAATTGTACTCAGTTCACAGTTAACCACAAAGGGATGTGAAACATTAAAGAGTCTGTTCCACCTAAGACTCACATAAGGAGCACAAGGGAAAGTGGCCATAACGTTTAGAGAAGTAGCAGGGAGAAGTGAATTTTCAGTTTTGTTAACGAGTTAAATTTCAAAGCACCAGCCTGTGAATCCTTTACATACTAACTTCAGTAGCTCTCTACCATGGGGAGTCCAGGGGTTGCAGTCAGGTCTTTGCCCTTCTTTTGGCAAGGAAATGCCACAGACTTGGCTAAATCACTCAACAGGTTTTCGAGACCATTTTTATTCTTCAAAATATTTTCCCAATTTTCTCTTGAGAACGTCCAGAAACTAGCATCATATTTCAGGTACAATCCCACTAACTGCAGAACTAGGATAAATCCAAGGTCCATTAAACCTCCTACTGCTCCAGCTCTGTCCTGTCACTAAACCAGTCTGTTGCTCACCTGTCTTGGATGTAGCCCGTTACCATTTTCACGATGTAATTCTTCATCAAGGAATTCACATAGGAATACACATATGTGTACACATACACAGCTCTGCATCTGGCTGTACTAGAATACCTGCTGATTTTGGGAAGCCCCCTCTCTTCCCCACGCTTCCACGTATACAGAGAAAAATTAGCAGGGTACTGCAATACCTCTCCTGTGGACACATTGTTGCCACCCTTACCTCCCTAAAAACAAACTTCTGCTGAGTTTCCGGCAGAGGCCTCTTGCTGAGGCAGCAGAATGCAATATCACATGCCTTACCCTTACTGGAGCTACCAGGTTTCAGCAAGGAGACAGACGGTGCATACCTCTGTCTTTGCCCAAAGCTCTCGCGCAGCAGGCACGCATGCGGTATTATTAATGCCTGGAAATCTGCCCAGAAACGGAGGAAACTGACACTTCAGTATAGTACCAGCACCAGAAATGTTGGATTTGATATGCAAAGAACTGAAAGATTGATATACAAAGAGCTATCAGATTAATCAAACCCTACTGTTCCTGAAATGTCAAACTGCAAAACGGAAGAAGCAAGTGGGAAAGTGCTAGGTGACTCGATGCAATGATTACACCACAGTTTTACTGCCACAGAGCCATTCATACTCACCCCATCAAGTGAACTCCAGGAGGATGTGTTTAATAAAATATGGAGGCAATTGAGAGCTACTAATCATGTATGGCCACTGGAAAGCAGCTAAAAGGGAACTGTTACTACTTGCGTAACAAAAAATATGTTACACAGATGTTTTCTAGAAGTCAATTACAAAAGTAGCCTCATCCTTCTTAGGAAATAATCATAACCAATGAGTCGAATAAAATAATTTTACTGTAAATCTCGTGTTGTGGATTCATTACAGCTGGGAAAACTAAATAGGAAACAGTTTCTTCAGGAAAAAAAATACTAAATTCACATATTTAAAAAAGATTCAAGTCGGCTTATATGGCAGGTGAATACTGAATTCATATTTAAAGTGAAAAATAAAATAAATGTATTTTAAAACTATTATGCAGTGAGTTAACATGTACACTAAAGATGACACTATTTGCCTTTTTTATGTGTCTCCCTTTTCTAGCACAGTGGGTCTTTACATAACATGAACCTCTAACAGTCTTGGGTGCCTTTGTAAAAGAGTAAATTAATGTTCCTTTTTTTTTTTTTTCTTTGTTCCTTTCTGGTTTTTGGAAGTCATTTTTTATTCTGCTTTGGTGTCCCAGCAGATGGCATAATTCCATTTCAGATGGAGACAGCCTCAGGTGAAAAGGAGGAATTAGATCAGCTGGTAAAGAGCATGCTGCAGAGAGAACCTGCAATTTCCAGACAGACTGATGTTTAGACAGTGTGTGTCAAGAAATACAATGATTCAATCCTGAAAAAATGAGATGATTAAAAAACGTGCTGTACTGCAGCACGCAGGACTTTGCTTGACAGGGGCTAAATATGATTTTTCTATTGCTTCTGCCCAAGCCGCTGGTTTGTTTTGTTCCCCCTGTGCAGGCAGTGATAAATTCCACAGCGCTGTGAAGATTCATCCACACAGCCTGCAGTGCTCTGTCAACCTTGTCCCTGCTTCTGAACGGCTCGGGTGCCGAATGCTCTATCAGATGCACATATGCTGGGTTCTGCTGCTTTTGTTACATTTATCTCATTAAAAATAATCTTGTCCCCTTTCAAAACTGTTCATATTTTAATTAGGGGTTGGGTTTTTTTCTCCTTATGACTCATTGAAAGGTGCCTGGCTCAATATAAATTCTCCTTTGTATTGCTACATGCAATCTCCTTCAGGGAGGGATATGCCAGGAAATAAATACTCAAAATTTTAAACAGAGAGACAGAAAAAGAGAAAGAGAGGGAAAATATTGCACGATTAATTTACTGACACACCAGGCTTCTGGATCTCTGTGTTCTATTTGCATATCAGAAGATAATTATCATAACAGGCATTATAGAAATGTCCACTGTTACCTACGAGACCAAATTCTGTAATTAGCTCTCAATCGCATTTTAATGAAACAGAAGCCCAGCACAGGTTCCAGCCAACTTACTGCCTTTGGAGTCACTGATGCATTGTCTTCTTAAGGTGCCACATCCACCAGGCATTGACATAGCTGGGGGGCGATTACTTCGTTGCCAGACCTTCTCAATATGCAAAGTGCCCCCCCCTTATTTCTCTTCCTAAGTCAATGAATGCCAACATCTCTTATGAAGCCATATTAAGATAAAGAAATAAAAACTGCGATAAAATAATGGGGGTTTGCCACATTTACCAAAGAGTGTGTGGACACAGGTCCCTTGCCAGCGCAAGTGACCCGTTCATCCTGGGGCTGTCCCTTCCCACCGCCCTGCCAGCCGCCGTGCTCCCGTGGGCAGCCACAGCGGGCTGCCTGAGTTAGCTCTGCTCACCCTGACCTTGGTTCTCCCGTCCTGGTTCATCGCAACTAAAGCACATTAGAGAGTGATGCTGTCGCAACGGATCCAAAGCAGCAGTGCTCCCTAGTATGATGATAATTAGTGGAGAGCAGTGGAGGGCAGAAACCTCGTCTGTGAGCAGAGGTGAGGGGCACCCACGTTGGCAGAGCAAGGGGCTGCCGCCGTCCTGGCTGGCCGTGGTGCTCCCTGTGAGCAGAGCAGGCGTCTCCCGGACTGCTCCCTGCCCGCAAAACAGATTCTCCACAAATAATATCGCTGTTGTGTGGAATAACTTTAATCCTCTCCTGGAGCTAAAGTCTGCTCCATTTAACCGCAGTGTGCCTCATCAACTTAATCAAAAGAAGAAAAAGAAGAAAGAAAACACCCCCCAAGTCTGATTTTGTTCTGGTTTTTAGCAGATCAATAATTTTTTTTTTCCCTTGTGTTAAACGATGTCAGTGGAATTCCCGTACTGTAATAAATGTCTGTAGACCAGAACACCAAATTCTTTCTTCATTTTTTTTTACAGGAGGTAAAACCTGCTGAGTACCTGTCAGCAGGTAGTTGGACAGCTAGATTTGTCTCTCCCACAGACAGCTAGCTTCCTAATTAACTTGCCTTCCTTTCTATACCTCTCATACAATACTTTAATGGTTTTAATGAGATTGTATTGCTTGTTACACTGTTGCTCCTCTGTCAAAAGACAAGCTTCCCATGATCTTTAAAAAAAAAAAGCAGCAGTGACTTAATGGGCCATCCATCATATCAAAATGACTGTAACCAGGCCTCACCTAGAGCTGAGCAAATAATTTATTCAATCCATTTCAGTATTTTAATGGAATTCTTTTGACAAATTAATCACACACGTACTGAGATTTTCTTGGACTTGGTCATAACTTACTACTTTTATTTTTAACATGATAATTAGGTGAGCGAATCTTAGTCTGAATCTTGTTGAATTTTAAGCTGCTTTTGAATGGAGCACTTCTGTTCCTGGCTGGCTGGACAACTCTCTGACTCAGGTTTTTGATAAAAGCATCCTCTACCAGGAAGTAAAAATCACTGTCTGCTAATATTCTGCACACAGGCGATTTTGCCGTTGCTGCAGAGGTCTGGTGAGCCCTGCGCCAGCAATCGCATTTGTTAGAGTGCCGGGGGAAGCCCGCCTTGAGCAGAGAACACCGAGAGCTAGGAAGGAGATAGGGAGAAAGGGAAGAAAGGGTATTCGAGTGTTTGTACAGGCCCAATATCAATTATGCCTCATTGTTGATTACATTTCATTGCACTACTTAAATCTTTTGTGAAAATGAAAGTGTTAAGCGATACAAACACAATAACCCCGCTGTGTGTAAATATAGTTTGCCTTCACAAATCACAGTCTCACTGTTGGTGCTAATTGCTAGTTCTTTACTGCTTGAGACAAATACCTTCTCTCAGCTCTCCAGCTGTTTTCTTTGTGCCACTTTCCAGAATCTTTTTCTTTTAAACTCTGATTTTTTCAGTTTCTGAGAAATATATTTCAAAAGTATAGGCTGGCCTTAATGAAAAGGTGATTTCAAATATCCACAGGCTTTTAGACCCAGAGTACCAGAATACAAATTTGGATTACAGTTTTCCATTTGGAGTTTATGTCTTGCAACAGGCAGACTTTGGCTGTTTTTCTCTCTCTTTAACTGACAGACTTTTCTAAACTTAAGTATTAACCAATTCTGTACAATGTTCAGTTGATTACAGATGTTGATTACAGATGCCTGATACAGATTACATCATATAAAATTCAATGCATGTTTAAGGTCTGATAGCCCAAGCTGTTAGTTTCAACTAACAACTATTCAACACAGATATTACTAAATGACAGGTTTATGCTATGTGTGTTCATCTTCCTGGGTCAATCATATATACAGGTTCCCATGAGGAAAAAAAATCCATTTCTCTAGATTTTCATGGTTTCAACTACAAAGATAAGCTATTTTTTAAGAAATACGGTATAACTTAGATTACATTACTGCGTCTTATTCCCCTCTTGATAGCCTCTCCCCGGTTATCTTTTGCATCTTCAGATCAAACCAATCAGTGTGGATCTGTGCAGCACATACTGCAAAGGGATCTCTGCCTTTAATTGTTCCCATCATGCCAGCGTTGCAAACAATTTTCTAAAAACCCTGCTTCTCATTCATCAAAATTTTCATCTGTTCTTACAGACTGCAGAATAAAACATAGGCTCATGCTTTACTTACCCCAAGATAATGGCCATCGATAAACACAACAGGGAGTGAGGGAACTTCACAGACCCTCCTGCATCTTTCATCTAGTTCTTTTCCATAATCGCTGTTCAGAGCAATGTTTTTTTCTTCAAATTTAACTCTGTGATTTTGAAAGATCTTTCTAACCAGTTCGCACCTTTCAAAAGTGGTTCTCACCACACGAAGACTGGTAGTATAAATTACTATGCGGCCAAACTCTAGCACTGTTGATACCTGGAAAAAAAAATAGTTCCCGTTACATTAAATAAGGTGTTAATAGCTTCCAAGTATTGAGTAATTTCATTAAAAATACTATTTAAGCAAAAAAAATGCATCTTGAAAACACAATCCAACATTCTACTTTTTTCAAATGTAAAGATGGAAGGGGAGGAATTAAGTTCTTGCAATCACCAACTTAAGGCAATTTAAGCTGTTTATTTAAGTAAGGTGCAACTTTACTTTTTTTTGAAAGTTTTGGAGATGGTGAATCAAGCCCAACATTTTCAAGAAACAGACATATTTTAGATGCTGGAGGATTTCCAATGTAAATAAATCATCACCTGTTTGCTGTTGTCCTGTACATAGAGTCACCTGTTCTTCCCCAAGCAGTGAAATACAATGCCGTGAGTTAATCCCCTTTTAATTCTTCAAAGCTTCAATAGTTACGTGAATGTAGGACCCCCCTGACCCCACCGTTTTTAGAGATGTCCGGTTCTGTTATAACAGTGACTCGTGTTTGTTTGCACAAACACAGTCTGGTAGTACTCAGCCTAAGTCTAAATTTGCTAGCTCAAGAGTTGTTGACAGCCTCCTTTAAGCAAGGGTGAGAGCCTAGGCTAAACTCCATCACGGCCATGACCCAACACTAGCTTGGACTCTCCACGCTGAACTAGATTATGACTGCAGAGGGGACAGAAGTATCTATAATTTTTAGTGAGTAAAATTTAGTCAAATTACTCTAACATCCAACCAACAATAAAAAAGTACATTTTGTGTGTATTCAGTGCCTGATTCAAAGCCCATTGCAGTGAGGGGAGGCAGTTCCTTGGCTGTGATAAGTTTCATGCTACAATTCAGATTTGACTTTTTACCCCACTTCTTCAGATGTGAAAGTTTATGCTGCATCTTTCCTTTCTGGGATTAAAACTATTAGGGAGGGTAAATACCACAGGGGTTACTTTGTCCAAGAGACAGTGGTGCATTTTCAAAAAGCCTGAGAAACATTGCTCTAAGCAAAGATAGTATGTTCAGATAAATAGCTAAAATCCTAGCTTTTTTAAAAGGTAGCAAGACATTTCCAAGCTTTTCAAATTGTCCATTAGATTCAGCAAATTATATTTAATTATTTCAGCAGTATTCCAGGAGTAAAACCAAAGTTAGAAAATAAGCAAAGATACCTGTAACGCACTGTAACAATCTGTGGAAAATGAACCTTGACAGGTGAATAGATCATTTTTTAACTATGTCATGTTATAACTGTAAAGACAAAGTTGTAAAATTGGGTAGACGCCATTGCAGATTTTGCCAAATAACGAAGTCATGATTTATCTTACTATGTAAATCCAAAAAAAAAAGTAATTGCAAAAAGCATATTCTGCTTAGAAAGGTGTTTACAAGATTCGAAGTACAGTGAAGAGTTCTCAGGAAAAAACTTGGGTTCTACAGATCACTTCTAGATCACTGGAAGTGTAATTGCAAACATATGTAATTTACCATTTTTCTATCTCCCGTTCTGGGAAGCAAACGTGTAGTGATAGGTCAGTATTTACTTCTCTTTGAATGGATGTCAGAAATTCAATTTTAGGAACGAATGTTATAAAAAGTAGGCTACTTTTCTCCAGCCTGTTTTCTAGGTTGAAAATCTGTTATACCAGCATTGACTCTTCTCCAGCATATTGTTCACACATTCCAAGTGTGAGGATTAGCTCGTCCTCTAATTAAAAGACAAGTACTCTACATAAACACTGCCAAATATTTTAGTAACCATGCATGGGTTGCTGAAAGGAAGAGGAGTTCATACTTTTCAGAAGTAACCAAAAGGAGTTCTTAAAATATTCCTTCAAAAAGTAATTTCACATACTCATTCTTTTCTCCTCTTTGGAGTGAAAATACATTTTGAAGTGGAAAACTATTCAACAGGATGGAAATTCTCGTTCCTTCATAGCTCTAATCTCTAATGCTGTTTGTTCCCAGACACCAGAGGCTGGCGGCATAGATACAGACAGTCATTATCTAGTGAAGCATCAGGACTGTGGTGTCCCTACAGCATGCAAATAAGCAGCTGAAGACACGGAAAAATGGAAAGTTGTAAAGTGATCTGGAAAGATATCAAGTGGAAGGTGTGTATGCAGAGTCACTTTTATGTTTATTCCTTTATTTTTTCCTAATGTGGCAATGAAGAAATACCCTTGTTTGCCCTGCAAAGAAGTATCAGGGCATTGACTAAATCATTCTTTAGGGAAATTTTAATAAATGCCTTGTTTTCTGTGCTACAAACGCACAGGACTTGTCCTTGGCAGGACTTTATCATACCAGGGAAAATCCTTCCTGTCACCTGTCTTGAACCACACTGGTAATTAAAAATAGGAGTCAAGACAGTTAGAGAGATTTACAGGGTTTTTCTTAATGAGAATCTATGCTAATTCCTATTTCGCTACCCAATTCAATGGCTGCAGCCTGTAATATTTAGTGACTAGAATGCGCTCTTGAAGTAAATCAGCAGAATAAGGTTTGAACACTCTGCTTTTCCTTCCTAGGTGGGAATTGTGGCAAAAACATAATAAATGACAAGCAAAGTAAACAAATTAATAGAAAGACACTTTAGAAAATGAACTTTTACAATTTTGCATAACAAACCTCAAATTAGAATCATCTCATATAACTCACAAATGCACATAAAATTTTAGCTGAAGTTAAAGAGAAGGTAAGTGTCTGGTTAATGGGCATGACAAAACTTTACTTGGGCTGTGGAAGTTGGACAGATGAACAAACCAAAAGATTTGGAGCAACTTACATTGACTATTTTGTCTCACTTCCTGTAAGTGGGATTCTCATTGAAACCTGAAGCTTATGGAAATCATTTGGCCTGAGGTGGCAACTTTTGTGTCAGATTCAGAAAACCCCATGCACATGGACCAAGAGTGTGCTTCAGAGAAGTTGTCCATGTAGAAAGACTGCCAAGGAAGGTATTTAAGGTTTCAGAGGGAAATAAAGTTGCTTCAGTAATGATCCTCTACATCATTTACAGGTTTTAGTTTAACAGCACAGTGCTATCATTCCTCAAAGAGTCCAAAAGGTCCAAAAATTTTACTACATCTGCCTGAAGAGCTTGCATTTTGCTTGGGAGCTTCAAGTAGGCAGCACCAGCAGTAGCATGACCTGCATCACTTCATGGCATAGACGCCACTCCCAGTGACTCGGGAACAGCTGCCCTTTTTTTCTTAATCTAGACAGAAAAAGCCATTGTTGCACCAGTTCAATCCTGTTCATGGTTGAACATGAGAAAACCAAAAGAACTTTCTTATTTTGCACCTGACTCAGTCTTTTCCCAGACTTCTCTACCAGGTGGATCAGGGCTTTCACAAATAAGGAGTTAGATACAGTTTGCTGTACAACTGGGGGAAACCTATCCCTCTGCCATCCCACCAGCATCTATCTGACATGGTTGCAACTAAATGTAATCATTAACTGAGCAAGTCTTCTGTGAACAGCATGAGAGATGTCATCCCATGAGACTAAATACATGAGCTTAGCATCAAGACAGACCACAGAACAGAGGAAGAAATTGTTGATGAAAAAGAGAAGGCTTGATAGAGCAAGCAGATAAGCAACAATACGGAGGGATGCAGGGGGCTGAAAAAGGGCTGAAAAGACAGAAATATCCAAAAATAGATAATAAACCAAAAACCAAAATGTCAGAATACCGACAAAGGAAGAATAGTACAAACTAAATGTAGAAAGAAAAACATGAAACATACGACAAAAAGGAGACAGAGAGTGAAACAAAACAAAGTCAATGATAAAACAGAGAGAAGGTCAGGGAAATACAACATCCTGAACATTTTATAAAAGAAATCCTGGTAGCCAGTGTAAGTGTACAACAACAAATATATTACAGAATATGTGAATCTCCAAGTTGTTTCAATATTTTGGGGTATTTTTTTAAAAAGATTTGTGTATTACTGGAGCTGCAGAAATATGAAATATTTGGGAATCATACTCCTGAACCATGTGTTTGAGAATTTACCTTTTCTGTATAACAGCTGCCGTGACAATAATAACAGACTTCTCAGTAGCTCTGAAAATATTGTATAACAGTCAGGTGTTTCCATGGTGCTTCTGAAAGCCAATTAAATATGTACACCATAAAACTCCCACGGACGTCTTCCCCACTGTATCTTATCCCTGGCTTCTGGATCCAGTCGCAACTGAAGTAGCAGCAAAAAGAGCCCGTGTTTCTCTACTGGTCCCATAGCTACCCTGGCCCTGAGCAGTCCCCCCGTCTGAGCAGATACCACTCACGCTCCTATTTGTGAGGGGAATTTATAAAATGAATTATTGAATAGCAATACTAGATTATTTCTTCAGCATATTTGTCATGAATTGTTTTCCCAAGTCTATAGATTTTCTTTAATACCTTTTATGACATTTTTATGTCTGCCTTGCTGACTTTGAGTGGCTCTTTATCTTTGGAACAAAACTCATAACATGGATTTTTTTGCAGCACAGCTAAGAGCTGGCCAAATCCAGAGCAGAGGGAGTGGTCCAAGCCAATGCATTTCTACTTGTGGTGTAAGGACCACTGATGGACCTTTGGGCATAAAGCAATTGCTCCTAAAAGAGTGGTAACATTTTCTTTTTGAAAACCTTTGTGTACAACTGTGTCTACAAGCAAGTAAACAGACAAGCCCAGCAGTAAGAGGAATATTCATGGTGTTAACCTCATTTTTATTTGGTTGCAAATGAAAACTATGACAGCAACACTACAAAAGTAGTCACGGGATTTTTTTTTTAATCCTCTCTCTGGATAGAATGCATAAACATGTGTTTTAACCTCATTGGTGTGAAAAGTGTAGCTATTTACATTCATATCCATATATATTTTATTTCAATGGTGGTGTCACCCACAAATTTACACTTGGTTCTTTTAAAGTACAGAGTAACAAATGCAAAAAAGAATCCCACCAAACCCACCCTATACTTTGCATTATATGCATTATATGAGCAACTGTACTCTAGCAAAAGAATATTTTTCCGCTAAGATTAATGGGCTGGTATAGTACTTTGGCAAAAGCTGAAATGTTAATGCCAAC